TTTTGGAACTCCCTGCTATGCTCCAGTATCCATCCTTCATTTGCAATGTGGTCCCTGGTGCCTCTTCCTTTCCTGAACTCTACTTGGACCTCTGGAAGGCTAGACTACAAAGCTATGGGAATGCCAATACATTTCAGAAATCTGTACTCAGGACAAGAGGCCACTGTTAGAACAGAACATGGAGAAACAGGATGGTTCCCAATTTGCAAAGGGGGCAGACAAGGCTGCATATTATATAGCGGGGTAGGCAACCTTTCCCCTTTAAGGGCTGGGGGACTTCAGCTCCCAGAAGCCTCAGCCATGTTGGCCAATAGTCCCATGTTGGCCAATAGCTCCTGGGATTCTGGGAGCTGAAGTCCCTCAGCCCTTAAAGGGGACAGGTTATATAGCAATAGCAGCTTCATTTATATACCACTTCATACTGTGCTATGCAGTCTCTAAGTGGTTTACAAGTGTAAGCCAATTGCACCTAACAAACAGGGTACTCATTTTAGTGACCTTAGAAGGATGCAAGCCTGAGCTGAGCCTGAGACCTGGATGGTATTGAACTCACAACCTTATGGTTTGTGAGTGAGTGGCTGCAGCACAGGCATTTAACCACTGCACCACCAGGGCTCTTATTATTATCACACTTGTTCAACTTTTATGCAGGAAACACCCAATGAAGAGCAAGCTTGGACACAGAAGAACCCCAGAATTCCATAGCACTAAGCCAAGTCAGTCACGGCGGTGTATAAACTGCATTACTTCCGCACTGTTAAAATGTTTTTCCACTCAAGAGGAGCTTTCCCTCAGAAGCAAAGGGAAACCTGAACTGTGAGTTCCGCACCATTTGTACTGAGCCTCTTTGTCCTTCTGGCCTGTTGCCCCGCCCTTTTCTGGCGTCGAGGTGAGAACCCGGAACTGTGGCTTTGGCAACCATTTGGACTGAGCCTCTTGGGAAGGAATCTTTCCTTCAAGCCGGTGGCTCCGCCCTCCTCCCGCGCGCCGTCGTCGACGTCGCGTGACTTGGCGTCGTGACGTAGGACGTCGCTGTCGGAGGAGGAAGGAAAGACGGGTGGGTGTGTGGGGGAGAGGGAGACAAAATGGCGTCGCCCCGCTGCCCAGGCGGCTCCGGAGGAGAAAAGAGGCTTCTCGTCGTCGTTGTTTCCGCCGCCTGCGCTCGGGACTTGTAAGCGGGCCTGCTCCGGCGTGAGGAGAAGCCGCAGAGGGAGGGAGAGGAGGAATAGCCGTCGTCGTCGTCGCCCTCAGGGCGGAGAAGAGGGGTGAGTGGCCTGGAGGGATAAAGGGAGGCTCCGGAGCGGCCTCCCGAGGAACGGAGGCTCCTCTCAAGGAACCGGAGGGTCTCTGAGGAAAGGCCGCCGCCGCCGCCGCGAACCTCCTCAAAATGGGGAGAGGGGGCGTGTGGGGCTTTGCGCATGCGCACTGTCCGTGGAGCTGGGGTACTACTACTACTACTACTACTACTGTATTTTAATAATAATAATAATAATAATAATAATAATATATTATTATTATTATTATTATTATTATTATTATTATTATTATTATTATTATTATTATATTTTCTTATGTCCCACCTTTCTCCCAGTACAGGGACTCAAGGCGGTGAACAGCAGATTTTAAACAATGCAATTAAAAAACAACAACAGTCCAACATTAAAATGTATAAAATTTAAAAACAATAAATTTTTAAAAGTTAATACAGCTATGAATTAAAATCGAATGCTATTTATTATTATTATTATTATTATTATTATTATTATTAAATTTTATTATTATATTTTCTTATGTCCCACCTTTCTCCCAATACAGGGACTCAAGGCGGCAAACAGCAGATTTTAAACAATGCAATTAAAAACAACAACAGTCCAAAATTAAAATGTATAAAATTTAAAAACAAGCCATTTTTAAAAGTTAATAAAGCTATGAATTAAAATCGAATGCCATTTATTATTATTATTGTTGTTGTTGTTAATAGTTTTAGTATTATTAAGAATAGTAATAATAAAAATAATAGTAATAATAAATTGCATTTCTTTTTCCTTCCTCTCCTCAAGGCTTGGGGCAGGGTAAAAAAAAATACAAAACCCCATCAAAAACACATAGAACCGCAGTTTAAAAAATCATTATTGCATTTGCAGAGGGGTGGGATATAAATAAATTTATTATTATTATTATTATTATGGTGATAATAAATTGTATTTCTTTCTCGCCTCTCATCAAGGCGGGGTACAATATGTTAAAAACACAAAACACAATTAAAAACACATCAGCCCACAGTTAAAATACAACACTATAAAATGATGCTGATGATGATAGATTTTATTTTTTCCCCTCTTCTCCTTGAGGAAGTGGGGTGGAACATGTTACGAATACAACACAATTAAAAATGCATAAATAAACCCACAGTTAAAATACTGTAAAGTCATTGAAATAATAATCCCCCCCCGCCTCTCATCTCAGCTTGAGGCGGAGTACAACGTGTTAAAAATGCAAAACGCTATTAAAAACATATAAACCCGCAAACCCACAGTTAAAATGTGCTTTTGAGTTGTTTCTGAAGTATGGTGACCCTAAGGCGTTTTCTTGACAAGATTTATGCATAGGTTTCCCCATGTCTTCTGAAGCTGAGAGAGTGTGTCTTGTGCAAGGTCACCCACTGGGTTTAATGGCCAAGGTGGGATTCGAACCCTGGTCTCCAGAGTCATAGTCCAACACTCAAACCTCTGTGCCACAGTGTCTTGCCTGCAGGTAGGGTACAGCTTGCTAAAATACAAAACAGTTTAAAACACATAAACCCTCAGTTAAATTGTTGTTGTTGTTGTTGTGCCTTCAAATCCTTTCTGACTTATGGCAAGCCTAATGTGATCCTATGAATAATTTCTTGGCAAGTTTCTTGAGAAGGGGTTTGCCATAGCCTTCCTCTGATGCTGAGAGAGTGTGACTTGCCGAAGGTCACCCAGGGGGTTTCCATGCCTGAGCGGGGATTCGAACCAGTACGCCATGCTGGCTTTGCCACAGTTAAAATACCTGAATTTAATCGTCATGATTTCAATTTGACTGGGTAGGCCTGGCAGAAAAGATATATCTTTAATGTTGTTTTAAAAGCAGTCAGCATTTTTAGTTGTCATGTTTCCTCCAGCAGGTTGTTCCACAGTCTGGGGGCAACAGCTGAAAAAGTCCTCCGAGAAACAATTGCCACTCTAGTCCTGGCTGGTTGGATTAAATATTTCCCAGAGGACCTGAGTATGAGAGAAGGCAATCTCGTAGGTAACCTGGACCCAAACCACGTAGGGCTTTAAAGGTACAATTGGTCCTCCACATTTGCAGCGTTGGCTTTTATGGATTTGATTATTTGCAGTTTTGATTAACATGTTCCCTCTAGGAATGTCTAGGTCTCCAACGCAATTCTGCTGGAAGTTGACCATAGAGTTGTACTGGAGAACCTAGAAATTCCTAGAGAGGTGTTCTCTTAGGTAGAAAGAATAGTGTTTTTTTTATTTGCATTTTTCCCAAATTCACAGGGGTCCTTCATCCCTAATGCCAGAGAATGTGGAGGGACCACTGTAACAACCAACAGTTATTGTACTTTGCCTGAAAACTAATTGACAGCCAGTGGAGTGATAGTAACACTCTCTCTCTCTCTATATATATATATATCCTCCTCTCTCCCAATAATGGGACTCAAGGTGGTGAGCAGCATTGTCAAAAGCAGTGCAGATTAGTTTTAATGTTGTTTTATAAGCTTATATATTTGATTACATGTATTGATTAATTTGTTTTTGTATTATATTGTCTTTTTAAAAAGTTCTGTGTAGATCATTTGTTTTGTAACTGTATTATGTGGTTTGAGTTTATTATTTCTTCCCTCTGTGTGTGTGTGTGGACACTTTAGATTGTGTGCACACTGTCAGGACCCACTGTTTTCGGTTGTTGGACCTGTAAATTTTTTGTTAGCTGCCCAGGAGTTGACCTCGATTTGTGATGACACTATGGAGGAGACTTCTCCAAGATCTCCTGTTCTTCACTGCTGTGCTTAGGCCCTGCAAATCCAGGCTTGTGACCTCCTTAATAGAGTCCATTTATCTGGCATGTGGTCTTCCTCTGTTTTTAACATCCATCCATCTTTCCTAGCATTATTTGCTTTCTAAGCAGCCTCCTCATGATATGCTCAGAATACAGCAACCTCAATTTAGTCATCTTGGCTTCTAGGGGTATTTCAGGCCATTTCTTTGTCTTCTTGGCTATCCACATGTTATCCTCAGCACTCTTCTCCAGCACCACATCTCAAATGAATTGATTTTCTTTCTGTCTGCTTCCTTCACTGTCCAGCTCTAACATTCATACATGTTGATGGGAAATGCAGTGGATTGGATGATTCTAACTTTAGTGCTCAGCTGTACATTTTTACATTAATAATAATAATAATAATAATAATAATAATAATAATAATAATAATAATAATAAGTTATATTTCCCGCCTCTCCCTATGGGTCGAGGCGGGATTACACAATAAAATGAAAACAATGTACAAAATATAAACAATAACGTAATAAAAATCAGAACAATAACAATAGATTAAGAGAATAGAATACAATATAATAAAATAAATGAAAATAAAATAAAATAGAATACAGTACAATACAATCAAATAGCCGGTCATTGTCAGAATCTAAAAATCTGGAAGATCAGATAGATAGGCCTGTCGGAAGAGCTCCGTCTTAAGTGCCTTCTTGAAGGCTTCTGGAGTAGTAATAAGACGGATCTCCTCCGGCAGGCTGTTCCACAACTTGAGAGCTGCGACTGTAAACAATTTTTGGGAAGTCGTGGTAAGTCTAGTTTTATGGTTTTCTAATAACTTCTTCCCAGATGTTCTGAGAGTGCGGGGCGGATTATGTGGGAAGAGGTGTTCCTTCAATTGAGTCGGTCATACTCTGACCACATCATGAGAAGGCGTGTTGTTGCTTTTAACCCCAACTCATGGTGTCCCTGTTGATGAGACTTCTCCAAGATCTACTATCCTCCATTGCTCTGCTTAGGTTGTGTAAATGCATGCCTATAATCTCCTTGACTGAGTCCATCCATCTAGCTTGCAGTCTTCCTCTCTCTCTACTTCCCACCATCTTTCCTAGCATTCCTTTCTAATGAGCCATATCTTCTCATGATATGGCCAAAGTATGACAGCCTCAATTTAATCATCATGGCTTCCAGGGAGAGTTAGGGCTTGATCTGTTCAAGGGCCCACTGGTTTGTCTTTTTGGCTGTTCAGGGTGTCCTCAGTGCTTTTCTCCATCAATACAGCACAAATGAGTTTACCGTGTAAATTGATAGTGCTATATAAAGAAATGATGATGAAAACAAAAGCCTGAATAAAAGTATAAATCTAAGATTTAAAAAAAAAACAGTTAAACAGTTGATGAAGTTAAAACATGTAAGCATTAACTATAGTTAAAATGCATTAAAACCAAACTCTTACCTTTCACCACTCTACTCAGAGAAGGGGAAGAGTTAAAATATAGTACTTACATTGACCTGTGGATAAGTTGACCCAATTTTAAGGGGTCAATTTTTTGGCTAAAATTTCTAGACTTATACATGAGTATATACAGTCCCCCACACATTGCCATGCCACCACCCTCTGAAGATGCCAGCCACAGTTGCAGGTGAAACATCAGAAATAAATTCTTCCAGAATGTGGCCATATAGCCTGAAAACCCCATAGAAAACTATGATTCTAATTTTCTTTCCTTTGGCAATGAAGAGTCATCACCGTTGTTGTTGCTGTTGTTATGTGCCTTCAAGTAGTTTTCTGATTTGTGGTGATCCACTCTATCACTGAGTTTTCTTGGCAAGATTTGTTCGGGGGGGTGTTGTATGGCTTCCTCTGGGACTGAGAGAGTGTGACTAGCCCGAGGTCACCCAGTGGGTTTCCATGGCAGAGTGGGGATTCAAATCTTGGTCTCCCAGTCTAGCACTCAAACCATAGTAGTTCAGCAATTTTTG